ACGAATCTGAAGTCAATTTTTATACCCGAACGCACTTATGCACAGGGTATTATAGCTTTGTTCGCATAACGGTTGTTTGTAACAGTCTAAAGGAATCGAAATAGATATAGACAAATGTATACATAAATGATCAGAATGAAAAGAAAAGTCGGTTAAGTCATGTCTGTCTGTCCGTCCGCCCGTCGGTCCGTCTGTCCGTGTACACGATAACTCGAACAAAAATTGAGATATCTCAACGAAATTTGGTATATAGGTTGCCCTTTACCCAAGGTAGGTTGCTATTGAAAATGAGCGAAATCGGACTGTAACCACGCCACCTTATGTAACGGTATTTCCAAAAGTGCAAAAACTAAGACATTTCAGTAAATATTGGATCCAAATTTTTGAAAATTAGTATGTAAAGTAGAATTTTGGTCGGGCAATAGCCACACCCAGCTCCCATATAACGGTAATTTACTGAAACACGAAAACTGAGATAAATCAGAAACTACTGAAGCCAATTGACTCAAAATCGATTGCTGCAATGAGCACTGAGCAAAAAAAATTTGATTTTTTATAAATTTTTGGGTTTTGGCCGTGGCTCCGCCCACTTATGACCACAAATGTGTATGTCGGTAACCGATTTATCAATTTTTACCAAAAATTTGTGTATTTAATAACCTTGGAAAAAGCAGTTCGTTGAAAATTATACAAATCGGACTAAAATTGCACCGGTTTACCGTATAACGGTAATTTTCGGATATACGAAAATTCCAATATTTCAATAACTGAGGACGTTAATTTACTCCAAGTTAATACTTACAACAATCTCTGAACAATAAATATTAAAGACTATTAAAGACTTTTAGGTAATTTGAAGAAAGTTGTAACGACGATATTTGATACCTGCGCCGGGTATTTAAAATACGTTTTCGCCTGAACTTATACTTCTTTACTTGTTTTAAATTCAAAATGGCGGATCCAATATGGCGATCAAATTCTTAAAAAATTACTAAAACTAAAACGTCGATACTGAACGTTTTAAGCATTGTCAAGGGTTGAAACTAATTTCCAGTGGGTTAATGGGGTTGCTGATTACGAATCTGATGTCAGATTTTCAAAATTCAAAATGGTGGTTCCGAGGTTCAAACAAATCCAATCATTTGAAAATCTTACATCAGATTCGTAATCAGAAACCTCAGAAACCCACTGGTAACGCTTTTCAACCCTTGACAATGCTTAAAACGTTCAGTATAGGAATGTTAATCCCGGGATCCCGGCCTTTTTAGGGTCTCGAAAATCCCGGGATTCTTGGCAAGTAATCCCGGGATTTTCGGGATTTGTAATTTGCACTGATGGCAATAATAGAAACTCCTTTTCTTGACCAGTATTGGCTATATTTCTTTTTTTATTTAATAATTAATATTTTTTTATAAATGTCTGCCTCATTAGACATATAACACCGCGCGATAGTAAATTTTAAACACAAATATCAATATATTCCCGAAACCATGGGCCAAATATAGTAAAATTGCGTTTTTAGCTTTTCACTCTGACGTCAGTAATTTAAAAATGATTTGAAAAATTCAGAGAAATGTGCTTATTGAAGAAGTATGGGTATAAAATTAATGCGGAAATCCTGTAGAATTTAAACAGATTCAAGTTTCAAGTATTGAAAATGTCATTTTAAAATTTTATCCTTGAAATTTCGCAATATTTGATTGGTCGCCGCGAATAACGCTGTAAGCGCCAATTTACTCAAAACTATTTTTTTCGCAGATTACCGTTAAAAATACTCTCGTGTATCTTCGCGGTTGCGAATTTCTCAATTTCCGTCAGTTTTCGGACATTAACCTACGCTCCAAAGTGAGTAGTGAGTGGAAAAACGTTTTAAGTGCAGGTGACCATGGCCAATTTATAATTAACAAGCGGCATGCAAAAGTGCAATAATGGTAAAAAACGTAAAGTACATTTCGAAAATTGGAATGATATGCCAAATAAGAGGCTAATAAATATTGGGAAGAATATTCAGGAAGAAATGCGAAAGGGGTATTAAAAAAAAATTACCAGAAACGGTAATGTGGAAAAACGTTGTAAGTGAAGGAGCTGTGTTAATAACAATTTTGGTTTTTTATTCCCCAAATTGTCAACTGCGCTTGTTCTCTTCACTGCTCAAGCTTCATATTGCAGACTATTCAAAAGCATTTCACCAATTTTTATAAAATGACCTATGATGAACAATCAAAGAAACCTTATTGTTATATTTATTATATTCATTTGTCGAAAAAGGTTGTAAGCGCCACCAGCAAAGATGCTAGGCTTACTGGAAAAATGTGTTATCATCAGGGAACGGATTTTATGGAAATTGCCTTTTTTTCTGCTAAAGAGATAGAGTATATTCGATTAAGAATGTCCACGATTTAGCTTTCTCTGATTCCATATATACACATTTGATGTTGCCTTTTTTGCCTTTTTTAAGGTATTTGCCTTTTTTTGCCTTTTCTACCTTTAAAAAAGTGATTATAGCATTTACATTTTTTTTTAAGATTAAAAAATATACACATTGCCCATGCGGCTTATAGAAGCGCAGAGACCTCTTGCCAAATTGGTGTTGGAAAAATTCAAAGCCGTTTTCTCAGCTAACGAAGGCTTGGAGACAATAAGGGGTGTTGATAGAATTATAAAGGGCGAGGAAAACGCCCTTATTCCTGATAATATGAACGTTTCAAAGGTTCCATATTTAAATTGGGCTCCACTTGTATCAACTTACGTCGAGCGCATATTTAGTACATTCAAGGCTTTTCTTCGCGAAAATCGAATGAAAATGCTGCCAGAAAACTTCAAAATGCATCTTGTGGTTCAATGTTACTACAACTATACAGATTAAAGTTTTATGAGTTAGAAACCCGAAAGGATAAAATAGCCAAAGATTCAAAGTACAAATTTTTCATATAATGAAACTAGTTCATAGTTTTTCTCTTTTTACTTGTAATATAAATGTATTTTTTGATTGTTCTTCGTATTTTCTGTCTTTTAGGTGCCTTATTTTGCTTTTTTGCCTTTTCCTGCCTTTTTTGCTATTTTGTTTTGCCTTTTTTTTTGCCTTTTTTGCAACACCTAGTGCCTTTTCCTGCCTTTTTCGCTATTTTATTTTGCCTTTCCCAGCCTATTTCGTTATTTTATTTTGCCTTTTTTATAGGTTTTTAGGTCCTAAAAATCCGTTCCCTGGTTATCATCCATTGGGATTTCGATATAAAACGTTTTTCCATCAGTTAAACTTTGTAAATCTTTTTTTGACTTGAAAAATATATAAGAATATACATTTTAAATCACGGGCAAGTTTCTTGGAGACTGCTGCACCGAAAAATGGAAAACTAAATCAAATGACTTTATGCGCGTCGTCAAAAACGTTTTTCCCATTCCTGAAAACTTCTGATTATGTCGCTTACAACGTTATTCGCGGCGACCATTCATTTGTTTTTGAATAAATTATATGTTAAGGGCTTATATAAACCCGATAACATCCTCGAGATTCGTTCTTCTAACTTTGTCAGCTTAAAAATTACCTATTCGTCCTTGTGAATCCAAAAAATTTAAATTTTTAAATTCTAAAGAAATTTCCTATTACATTTGTTACCCATGTTTTTATGCTACATTGCATTGAATTTTTTTTTAACAATTTTTGGAATTAATCATATCTTTGAAATTACAAAGTCCTTCAAAATAAATCCCGCGGTCAGAGAGGAAAAATATCTAAATCCCGGGACTAATCCCGGTATCCCGGGATTGAGACAACGCCATCCCGAAAATCTCGGGATCGGAAAACGCCGAAAAATTAACATCCCTAGTTCAGTACCAACAGTTTTAGTAGTCTCTTTTCGAAAGCACATTTTCGGGCACTAGGCCCATTCTAATTGTCTAAGTCAGGTATGCAATTAAGAGAATGCAGAGTATTTACATGTAAAAACACCTTTTTTAGCTGCATTTTAACATGTCACGAAAATAAAAAAAATTGAGAACATCAGCGTTTTTATTTACAATCCGATTTTATACCATCCCAATGGGTAGTGCTAGAGTCCAGATATCTTTAAAATCGTATTAAGTTACAATTTGACTCGAAGTACAGAATCCGCACATTTTACATGAAAGAAAATTGTTACGCAATGGATCGATATAATAATGAAAAAATTAAAATCAAGTTAGATTTAAATTCAGTAATTTGGTCTCATGGGAATGAATACAATCGCAAAAGCATCGGACCAGCCAAATTAGGTGAAGAAATTGTGATTTTATAAGAAACATATGTAGGTATGTCAGAATGCCCTTGGAACTTTAGTTATTTTATATGATGTTCTCACGAGTACTGCCAATTACGTTGTTCTTAATTCGGTTAGCCAGTTCATTAATCTTTTTTTATTGTTTTCTTTATTTCCGATTCTTTGTTTTAGATTTTTCTACTCTCTTTTGCTTAGACAGCTGAGTTCGATAAATTTCCGATTAAAATTAGGGACAAATGGTTTGCTCTTAATTCGCATGGTAATTGAATCTGAATTTCATAATTCGATCTGGTTTAGAAACTACACAGTCCCAACAATCTAAGTTTAACAAAAGATTGTTATACATTTAATGTTCTATAAATCCTCTTTTCAAACCATGTTTGATTTTTGAAATCGGATGAAAAATAGTCACGCTGTTAATAGGTAAGTACATCAAGTACGAGAATAACGGGTTTTGAATAAAAACATCTACATTAAGTTTTGTTTCGGGTTTTCCGTGATTTTTTTGTCGCACTGTGTTATTATGGAGTCTTATTTTTACACCGGATATTGAAGCTAACCTTATGCCCCTATTATGATTCAATGTTACAACTCAACTCAACTATGTTTTTGTATTATATAATACTAATCGTATGATTCACAACCAATTTTCGTTGTCTTCGTTAAGTTATTGCCAACCTGAAAATTGTTACTTTTGACAAATCAGTTGATCGTCACACAAGTATTCAAAAAATTGTGTGAAAATTTAAATATATTCATTTACTATGGATGTCTCCGTCGAAATGTATTTTTCGGAAGATGAAGAGGACGAAAATGTGCAGCTTGCACGTATTAGAAGGAGCCTTAGAGACCAGACTAATCCATTGGAGCTACCAACGGCCAAGTACGTTATTGTATTAATGATACAGCAGAACGTTTTTCATAGTTCTTTTTTCAGATTCATTAGTTACTTTATGCTGAACAAAGAAGCGTTTATATATTTATTGAATGAGACAAAAGACTTTTAAGCAATCAATGCGGACTTCTGCTACATCACCGACCATAAAATTATGCGCCGCTTTACGCTTTTTTGCTGATGGCAGCTACCAAAATAGTAGCGGTAGCAATTTTAATTTTGGTTTAGCTCAACCCACATTTTCTGTGGTTCTTGTGGAAGTTCTAAACATCCTTGAACAACATGTCTGTTGATCAAGGCGGCGATGACCACTGATGAAATACAGGATTCCAAACTGGCTGTTTACGCTCAAAGTGGATTTCCAGGAGTATTGGGCTTCGTTGACGGTACGCATGTCCGAATCTGTGGGCCACGAAAGGAAGTACAGCATCTATATCTTAATAGAAAAGGATACTACAGCCTTAATGTGATGATTGTGAGTCTTGCTATTCTTTATCTAAATATTATTCATGCTTTCACATGTTTTTTAGTTTTCAGACTATAAACAGAATATTGGGTTCGTTGACGCCAGATACACAGGTTCTAATCATGATTCTCATATATGGAATGTGAGCACACTAAAACAACGACTCGATCAGAATTTGCCAACAAACACATGGATTTTAGGTAAGCGATCCTTACTTTAATATAATTAAGGTGCAACTATATACAGAAGTATGTACAATATATAAAATTATTCCTAGGTGATACAGGATATCCACTAGGAAGAATTATAATGACCTCATTTCGGAATACAGTTGATGGCTAACCACAAAAGAGGTACAACAAAATTCATGCTAAAGCAAGGAACTCCGTTGAGAGAACCATTGGCGTGCTGAAAAGCAAGTTCAGGTGTTTGCTTTCTGCGCGTGGTTTGCACTACGCGCCAGAAAAAGCTATGCAAATTGTTAATAGCTGAAATACAATGCCGGCGAACGGCGAACTCACCACAGCGAAATTCGCGCTGCCAAAATTAGAACACCCGCGTGCATATGAGATTGAACACAGCCAAAGCGAAATGCGAAGTTCACTCGGCGGCGTTTCATGGCGATAGATTTACATATTTCTATCGCTCTGCTGGGCGATGACAGATGTACGTACCAAAGGTGGCCGTATTTTTTTTGTATTTCGAAGTTTTAGAAGAAAACAGCATAGACATGAATTGTTTTTGTTGTCTAAAAATGTAGTTGTGGATTCGTTAAATCTGGCTTGAAATAAAATAATTTATAATAATTTTTCTTTGTTTTGCATCTATATTTGCTATCATTTCCTTATTTCTAAATATGGTCACCCAAATTATATAGGCGACCAAATGGTATCTGTTTTCACTACCGGTCTAATTCTGTTTAAGTAGGCGAAATAGCTGGGCGAACGGTGAACGACAGCATCGCCCAATTTGGCGAAGTTTGCTGTTCGCCGGTATTGTATTTCAAGCATAACGCTTGCTGTGCTTTACACAACATTTCTCAGTATTTTAAAGTTAAATTTGCCAAAACCATTTTGAGCACAGATAACCAACAAGAATCCACACCTGTGGAAAATAATTCTGCAGAGAATGGCGAAGCAGAAACAATAAGGAACAACATAATGCGTCCATTGCAATAATTTCATATGTATTTCATTTTAAGTTAATAAATAAATTCAGTTTCTAAAAAGTAACAAAATATTAAGTTTTCAAATTAAGAGGTACTTATGTAACTAATAAAATCAACGTGGTTACTTAAGTGATAAAAAGTGGTGTTTACATTGAAATGAAAATTCATTAAAAAAATAATAATAATTCATTCTATAAAAAGTTCTATTTCCTAATACATGGTACCACACATATTGAATTCTTCAGTCTTTTCAATTTTTCTTTTGCAATCTATATCTTTAGTTTCCTAAGGACACTTGCTTCTTTTTCACGTTCCTTCAACAACTTCAATTCTTCTTTCTTTAACAGGTACACTTTATGCTGCGTGCTTTCCATTTATTTGAGGGTTCGCAGAATTTCAGTTCGCGTTCGAGCCTGCCTTTCCAGTAGTTGCATTTTGGCTTCGCCTTTTTCAATAACTACCGGCGAATCAGTAGCTGGAGGAGTTACATTTTCCTCTGTGGTCAAATCAACAGCTAACCCGAACGCACTCCCGGGGGGATTAATGGATAAATTTACTTGAGTAAGCTCACACACTCTTTCTTCACTAGCAGTCAAACTGATTTCTTTCGATGGGCCACCGCCGGTCGCCAGGAAGTTTTCTTTATTTTTCGCCAGCTTTCGTTTTAGGTTGGCTTTATAATGAATCTACACCTAAATAGAAAAAACAGAATAAGGTTTTGTTTTTGGTTTTGTAAAAACTATCTTACCCTTTGCCATTCCGGCCCTGACTTGATGGCGGGCCAAGACTATTCAGCTCGACTGCAAACTGCCCCCAAGTGTCTTTTATTTCTTGGCGACTCGATCCGTATTGGCCTTTACCTCTTCCAATGTCGGGATGTTTTTCGAGTAAATCGACAAGGCGGTCAATTTGTTCTTTGTTTGATATTTTCCTGAAATAATTTGTTGTATATTTTACGTATTTTATTACAAACACTTACAATGCTTTTTCCATTTTCACGTTTATTAACAAGAACACAACTGATAAAAAGTAGTTGTCGCACTTTGACAGCTCATATAACTAAACTTTAGTTAGGCTGTAAACCATAATACTGGTAACAACTTAACGAAGACAACTAAGTGAACAGCTGATTGAAAGTTGAGTTGAGTTGTAAATCATAATACGAAATCGACACCTACTATCAGTTTAGTTGTGAATCATAATAGAGGAATTAATATCACTGTGAGACAAATGGTAGGGGTCAGTGATCGGGAAGGGTTCAAACTACCGGGGAAAGTTATATCGGTAAAAAAGAAGTTACGTGTCCCGGCGTTTCGCTGGGTCACGTCTAGGAATCGAGATATATCGATTTGAAGTTAGTAACTATCATACAGGGGAAATTGTCACCTTTGGTGGTCTTTTTTTGACATAACTCGAGA